TTGGCCAATACCCACTGAGACTACTCTGGGGCAGACTACACATGGGGATACCGAGGTGAATGAGAACAGGGCCCTTGACTCTTGGAGGGCACCCAGCCCAGCTCCAGGGAGGGGGTCAGGGACAGTCCTCTCTGAAAGGGGGGGAAGCCAGTCCAAGTGGTGGCAACAGGGTGCGCTGAGGCTGAGAGGCCTGGACTGCTCAGCAACCCTCGCCCTGAGCAGCCGGGGGTCTCCAGGCTTCCCCGGGCAGGCATCAGGGGGCGGTGGCCTGCTCCGTTGGGAGGTGAGTTTCCTTCCGGCAGCTCCTTCTCACGCGATGGGCGGGAAGGAGTTGGGGGCCCATTGTTTCCTGGCACGCCAGCACCCCCAGCCCTCCCCAGCTTCTGGGTGGGGGAGCAGTGGAAGGAAGTGGGCTGAGCCCAGACTCTGGCAAAACCTCAGCAAGAAGGTGCAGGGTTTGGGAATGCCGGCTCACGTGCGTGGGCCCGCTATGCACACAGCTGCACACGCCACACACACGCCAGGGCCTCTGTCTCACCCCGAGACTGCCCCTGCAACATTCCTGGTGTGCGAGTGTGTGTGTATATGTTTGTGTGTTGTGCGCTAGCCTGGTACCTGGCACTGTACCAACCCTGTGGAGTAGGATTATCATCCCCAGTTGCAAGATGAGAAAATCTAGACTCAGAAAGGTTGTGCAGCTGGCCCAAGGTTAGTTGGGAGCTGGAGTTTGGATCTCCATCTGTAAGCTAGCCTCCCTGCTCGACCTCTTTCCCTTTTCCCTGTGGAGGATTGCATTCTGTTATCTTAATTACTGGCCTGGGAAGCCTATTGAGTGTCACCCTATTATCCTTCTAAACTCAGGAAAGCCTGCTGATGACACTCAGGGTGCTCAGGGAGCAGGGCCAGGGGCATCACGACAGAGGGCGTCGGACAGGCTCCTTGCCCAAAAGTGCCCCTGTTGAGCTGAGCTGCACTCCAGAGCAGAGGGGTGAACAGAGTGCAAAGTCTCAGGGAGCTAATTTTGAGAGGGTTGCTGAGGGATGGGAAGCTCAGATCAATATGTGGACCACTTCTGGTGGCAGCCCTCCCAGGACAGGAGGCAGTGGCAGTGATAAGGTGGAGGGTGAACTCATAGACTGAGTCTTTTTTTTTTTTTTTTTTGGAGATAGAGTCTCACTTTGTTGCCCAGGCTAGAGTGAGTGCTGTGGTGTCAGCCTCGCTCACAGCAACCTCCAAGTCCTGGGCTCAAGCAATCCTCTTGCCTCAGCCTCCTGAGTAGCTGGGACTACAGGCATGCGCCACCATGCCCGGCTAATTTTTTCTATATATATTAGTTGGCCAATTAATTTCTTTCTATTTATAGTAGAGACGGGGTCTCGCTCTTGCTCAGGCTGGTTTCGAACTCCTGAACTCAAACAATCCACCTGCCTCGGCTTCCCAGAGAGCTAGGATTACAGGCGTGAGCCACCGCGCCCGGCCTAGACTGACTCTTTAAACTTCATAAACTCTGGTCTAGCGAAATCCAGCTCAGCTTCATTTTCCCCACCCAGACAGTGCACTCACCACCATGTTTTCAGACAGTCTGCACGCACCGCCCCCAGATTCCTTTGCCAGCTGCAAAACCCTTCCTTGGGGAGCAAGTCGCCTTAGGACTGAGATTTATCCAGGTAGATCTGGGTGAGAAGAACCCCAGTGATTGGGTTAATTGCATAGGGACGGAGGGGATCCTGGGAAGGAGGTCACCCGAGGCAGAAAAGAGCCAGGTAGGACCACCCAACCCAGTGCCACAGCCTTCTTCAGAGAAGGGATGAGCTGGTTTGGGATAAGAACACTGATGCGTCTTTGTCTAATCTGTTAGGAGTCCCAGTGTTGGAGACCCAGGGGAGACTGAGAGCAAGGGTGAGCTTGCTTTGCACTGGGGGTGTGAGGAGGGGTGGGCAGGGCAGGACGGAAAAGTGACAAGTGGAGGCTCTTGTGTGGCTCTTCTGGCTTTCCCCTATGCCATTGTCTCTGCTGGCCTGGTGTGTAGGGCACCCTGCCATGGTAGCCAAGGTGCCGTGACCATGCTGTTGCTGTTGGCTGTGGCTGTTTGGGCCAGGATGGACACCACTCCGAGGGGACCCAACTGCTGACTGCCCTGTGACCTTTGACCTATATGGCCTGGTTCAAAAAGATGACCTGAGCCAATCGAACTCCTTGCTCAAGAACCTGAGCTAGCCCAGTTGGCGGCACAGGAGGGTTGCTCGGGCCCAGGAGTTTGAGGCTGTCGAGTGCCACGATCCCGCCTGTGAGTAGCCACCGCACTCCAGCCTGGGCAACATAGCGACACCTCATCTCTAAAGAAAAAAACAAAAAACCCACAAAGAACCTGGGCTAAGAGATGTGACGGAAAGATCTGGTTGGTGGCAGCTGTGTGAGATAAAAGAAGTTGAGGATCTGAACTGGACAGGCTGAGAGTCTCTTGCTTTTTCCTGGGAGACCGAGGTGGGTTCCCAGCCCACTTTCCCCACCGTCTCGTCCTCACCAACATTGCCCTCCCGGGGGCTGCGCTTCTGAGTCTGCCAGGCTCTCACGGGATTGACCCACAGCCTTAAGTGGGCTGGCAGAGCAGGTCGTTGTCAGCGGCCCGGGCTTCATGTGGATGGTGCTGGAGGTGGCTGAAGACTGAAGATGGGGACCTGAGGCCCATGAGGGCGGGGCGTGCTTGAGGCTGCCAGCACCTAGAACCTGAGCACAGGTCTCCTAACGCTCCCACCGAGTGCTCTTTCCAACCCTGCACACCAGCCACGGATCGTGGCGCCTTTCCACGCTGCCCTGTTCCAGCCGGGCAGTCCTGACTCGGGGGTGAGGGCCAGGCCAGAAGAGACTCTGGACGTGGTGCAGGGCAGACCACACCTTCCCGAGCCCCTGCCCCACCCATTCCCAGCATGTGCTTTCTGAGCCTCAGGTTTCTTTTCTCTAAAGTGGGGTAACGGTGCTCGCAGCCCATGGTGACTGTGAGAACAGCCCGAGATGATGGGTGGCAAGGCCTGCTGGGAGGGGCAGGACAGACTGGTCCAGTCTGCCTCCAGCCAGTTTCAGGTGACAGGGATGGCGTGCAGGGGAGCAAAGTCTGTGTGTCCAATTCCTCCTGCCCTGGCTCCAGCCAAGCAAAGATAGGCAGGTGTATGTGAGAGGCTCGGAGCAGCTCCTGACCACACAGCTGGATGAGGCAGTGACTGCTGGGTGACCCTGACCCCCTCAGGCCTGTCTCGAGATGCCCCAGGGAGCTGGGCCTTGCTGAGCCATAGCTTGATAAAGTATGGCAATGTCTGCTTGCTGCTCGTTGGGGTGTTTAAATGTGCCGTCTGGTGCATCAGTGAGCTTCCCACCAGTCCAGGGCTCCTGGAGGGTAGGGCCAGCTCCCCCTCAGACTAGAGCTCCCAGGGCTCGGCCCCGTCTCCTCACTCAGACAGGGCCAAACTGCCTTTTCCTGAGATTCCGTGGCAAAGTTGTGTTCCCTTCAACTTAGGGATCCCAGAGAAAGGCTCTGCCTACCCCCTCAGATTGTGGGGTCTCCCAGGACAAGGCTGTGCTTCCTCCCTCAGACAAGGGATCCCCGAACAGGATTGTTTTCCCAGGAGCCCGAGAGCTGAGCTGCCTCTTCCGCATCAGATGGTGCTCTCAGAGGAGGGTCGCTTGCTCCTCAGACTGGAGCCCTCAGGCAGGGCCGTCTCCTCTCTCAGCCTGTCATGTCCAGGGCATGGTCGTGCCCTGCTATCTTGGGATCCCAGGGCAGGACTCTGTCTTCCCTCTCAGACTAGGGTTTCCTAGGGCGGAGCTGGGCCTTCTTCACTCGGAGATGAGCTGGGGCTTCTCTCAGGCGGCAGTTCCTGAGGGTTTGCTTGGGTTTGAGGACAGGCACAGACACAGACAGAGCTCCGGCGAGGCGCTTCCTCCCTCGAGGGTTTGAGTGTGGGCTCCAGCTAATTTAACTTCTTACACGTATTATTTTCTTCAAAGCCACAGACGGCCACAATTTCCTGAATGTTGGAGCAACAATGCCACTGGATGAACTCTATTCTTTTTTCTTTTTTCTTTTTTTTAGACAAAATCTTGCTCTGTCACCCCAGGTACAGTGCAATGGTGGGTAAAATGCAGTGGAGTCAGCCTCGCTCACAGCAACCTCAAACTCCTGTGCTCAAGTGATCCTCCTGCCTCAGCCTCCTGAGTTGTTGGGACTACAGGCACACGCTGGGATGCCTGGCAATTTTTTCTATATATATTAGTTGGCCAATTAATTTCTTTCTATTTATAGTAGAGACGGGGTCTCGCTCTCGCTCAGGCTGGTTTCGAACTCCTGACCTTGAGCAATCCGCCTGCCTCGGCCTCCCAGAGTGCTAGGATTACAGGCGTGAGCCACCGCGCCCAGCCTTGATGCTCACTTCTTTTACAAGCTCTCCCTGAAGTGACCAGCCTTGAAGATAGTGACTTCTAATATCTGTGATTTTAAATAATGCTTCAATAGAAAAGAAATTTAAAAAAGGAAAACATGTTTCTCTTCATTCTGCTTGAAATGTGCCTGTAGCAAGGGGCATCACAGTGTGTTCCGGTTTATGGTATTATTTTGGAGTAATTATTAATAGTGCAAATATTGACAGCACTTTCACACTCCGAAGCATCCCAGTTTGGGTGGTAAATTACATGGTCCCCCTGCCTAGAGACTAAAGTGGGGTTTTCCAAAGAGAGGTCTCTGGGCCTTCACATCAGAATCGCCTCATGTGATTCTGCTGAACTCGGAATCCCGGGGGATCCCGGGCTCCATCAGCTGGAACGAAGTTCCTAGTCCATTCTCATGTGCATTAGAGTTTGAGGAGCACAGACTTAAAATTTGTCACTTAGAACGAGCCATATAGCTGAGGCCCTGTTCCTTCATCATGGAACAAGTTCCTAGCGGGGACAAACAGCCTTCCCGACTGCCGAACATGCACGCATTTCTCCGTGACGGATGTGCACTCACCGGTCGTGGTTGACCTGCCACTGGTTTATGAAGACATGGCACCCTTTGGGAATGTACAAGCCATTCAGTGCCGTGTCCCTTGTTGTGCTGAGGAGGGAAGAGGGCTCCGTCAGGCTCAGGGCTGGAACGTGAGTGTGTCTCGTGCCTACCTCCACCCCACCCCAAGGGCCTGCCTGCTATGGTCTCCAAACCCTACACCAGGGGGCATGTGGGGCTCAGGGAGGAGGCGGGATCACCTCCCCCTTGCTTGGCTCCTGTTCCTCAACTTTAGCAAGTGTCCAGCCTCTCTCTGTGTCCAGCTGTGCACTTGGCCACTCTTGGGAGCCAAGGAGCAGGAAGTCGAGGCCAGCCCTAGGGAGTTTCTAGCCTGGCTGGGAGTCAGGCCTCTTTCTGCAGGAATAATGAGACCAGTATTTGGGCAGATGTGAATGTTCACTAACTCTCTGGACATTGCTAAAATTCCAGGACATGAACAATGGCTCTAAGTCCTGTAATCAGGAATGAAGCCGGGCCAGCCGGATGAGGCAAAGAGGCTTGTGGGGAGGAAAAGCTTGTGTGGGGATTGACCTTGAGCTAGGGTGAGATTTCGATAGTCACAGAAGAGAGTAGCAGGCATAGCAGGCAGAAGGTCCAGCGTAAGCAAAATTGGGGATTGGGGGGATCATACTGGTGAGGGGCAGCGAGGCCGAGCTGGCTGGAGCAGAGAGACTTGCAGGGGGGGAGCAGGAGCAGAGGTGGAGGAGAGCTGGCGGTTTGAGCATCTTGGGACTGGACTGGACGGGAGCAGACTAGCGGCTGGGGTCGGGAAGGAAATGCCAAGGTCGGAACCAGGGCCAGGGCTGAGAAGCTGGGAGGAGAAAACATGGCAAGGACTTCGCAGGTGGGCAGGCAGGATAGGCAGGTGTCACCAGTGGGGGATGGTGAAAGGGACGAAGGAGTGTCGGAAGGTCTCCAGGATGAAGGCCTCCATGTAGGGCAGCTGGGGCCTGTCAGACAGCCGGGGCCGCCGCGCCCTGCCGATCACCGCATCTGTGGAACACAGAGGACACACAGAGCTTCAGGGCTGCCCTGACTGCTCCATGGCATCTGTCTCCTATTATATCGCATGACACTCTGTATGAGACTACATTCACATATCTGAGACCCCATTAACCCTCCACATCTTCTGGGCAAGGGTGGGCACCACTGTATGCCCAGGGCTTGCACATAGCAGGCACATAACAGGTATTTGTAGACTGAAAAAGCAACCTAGGTACCAAGGCTTCCCCTGGCCATAGGGTTGGGGGCCACCACATACCCAACTCCTTCTGATCTTTCTATGTATCTCAGGCTTGGTCACAAGGTACATAAGGCTCCAGGAGATGGCAGTTGTGATCGTGTCAAACCCTAGACAGCACAGGGTGAGGTGAGGGAGGAAGGAAGACAGGAACAGGAAACCATCATTTACCAAGTAGCCACCATGCGTGTACCAAGGATTACCCTCCTCTGGCTCTAGCCTGTGAGTTTCCTGAGGGCAGGGGCTGGGTCTCTTCAACAGCAACTTGAGACACTGCTTTCATAATTAGATGCTGGAATTATAGGAGCCTAGACTTATAGGCCTTTATTGTTCAGATGGGGAAACTGAGGAGGAAAGGACAGGAGAGGAGAGGGATTTGGTTCAGTTTCTACTTGGAATTGGTGGCACAGCCTGGGTTCAAACCCTGATCCCAGGTCAGGTCTCCGTGTCTTGTACCATCTGATGTGTGCTTGGCAGGTTATTTGATGGACTTGAGCTGGGTAAGGCTGTGGGTGGACAACAGGCTCTGATGGCTGGAGGGGCAGAGGTCTGGCTCCTACCTGCTCCAAATAAGTCATTGATAATGCTGATAATCTTCTCCTGGGGAATAAGGTCACCGCTGGCTCTGGAGCCCATCTCTCTATGCTTGAACAGGGCACCCGTGATGTCTTGGACACTGTTCTGTGGGGCCAAAAGCTTAGGGGCATCCCTGGAAGTTCCAGGGCCAAAGGCTGGACTTTACTTCACCCCTCTGACCTGCCCCTGGGGGATGGGCACTGCCCCCACCCCCAGGCGTGGGCTGGGGCTTTCAGGAACAGGTAGCAGCCCTGGGTAGGGCTGAAAGTATCATTTCATGCCCCATTGACTCTTCTTCTCAATAACCCCAGGGATCCAATTTCAAAAAAAGAAGAGATTAGTGTGGATCCAGGGAAGCAGAGTGACACTAGAGCTGGGGCATTAGCCTCTGTTGGGGTTCCAGTTTCTGCAGAACAAAAGCCTTCTCCTTCATGGGCCCCCCACATTGCAGGACTCTGACAGGTCCATTCACAGGCCTTTTCTCTGAGGGTTTTGAGCAGCCCTGAGAGGGGGCTGGAAGGGTGAGGAAACTCCGGCCCAGGTCAGATGCTGGTCTGAGGTGTACAGCGCCCCAGGCCTGGGCAGTGCGCAGCCTCTCAGGCACATTGCAGCTGGGTGAGAGGGGCTGCACCCAGGCCCTGCAGGGTGCCCCTCCTCAACTGCACCCCGGGCTCACCTTGTCAAAGTCCTGATAGTGCTCCCAGACTGTTTTCTGCAGAAACTGCAGGAACCTCTGGTTGAAGTCTTTGAACCTCTGCAGGGTGGGGTTGGGCAGGTAGCGAAGGGTGGGGAAGAAGTCCACGGGGTTCCCAGAGGTGGCGGACTCCACAAACTCATGGCTGTTCCTCAGGATGCTCAGCATCTCCTCACTGCCCTGGGGGAAGTGCTGCCTGAAGCACATGGCACCGATGACATTGGCCACTGGTGCCACCACCTGGCTGTAGGGGTCAAAGTGCCCAGCCCCTGCCATCAGCTCCTGCAACTTGCTGATTAGGGCTTCAGCCTCTTTGCTCACATGCTCCTCCAGGTAGCAGGAGAACGAGGAAGACGGGTCGGAGGCGATGGAGAAGGCTTTGAGGGCATTGTGGGCCAGGCGCCGGCGGGCAGCCCACACCGGTCCGGAGTCTGGGCTGAAGGTCATGCTCTGGCCATCAGTGACCAGGGTGAAGCTGTAGAAGTCGGGCCGGCCCTTGAAGTGGCCACCCTGCCGCACCAGGGCCTGCCGGATGGTGTCCAGGCCGCTCAGCACCAGCACAGGCGTGGAGCCAATGCGGATCTGCAGCACGTCCCCGTACTGCTGGCTCATCCTGGCCAGTGCCAGGTGCGGGTTCTTCCCCAGGGTCAGCACGTGCCCAATCAGGGGCCAGCCCCATGGCCCGGGTGGGCTCTTCAGACCCTTGGGGACCCGAGGCCTTGAGGCCCTGACCACCCAGAATACCAGGCAGAAGACAGCAGACACCAGGAGAAGCTCCGTGGCTGAGATGGGAACAGCCTGGGACAGCGCCATCTGTGCCAGCTACAAGGGAAAAGGAAGGAGGGGCTAGGCTGGGGTGGAGATGGAGACATTCATTTATTCATTCATTCACTTAGTCATTTGATAAACACTGACACATGTTCTGTGCTTGGCTCCCAGCTGGACACCAGAAAGACTGAGATACATTTCCACTGTCCTGAGCCCAGGAGCCCACCCTTAGCACACCACAGCATCGGAGGGCTGGAAAGGAGCCTCAAGAGTCCCACCTTCAGTGTCTGAACACCCAGCCTGGCTGTCCCCTCTACTCATCATCTCAGCTTCCAATCTGAGGCTGGAGTGGAGGCAAGAGACCACTCCAGAACAGGGAAGCCGAGGACAGCACCCCTGGCCGCCCTGGCACAGTGGGTGCGTTGGGCATTGTGCCAGAGGGTCCCACTGGTGCTGGCTTCCTGCTGAGACATCTTACATACTCAGGGAACAGGGAGTCCCCTCCCTAGTGACACTGAGGAGACCAAGGTCCCAGGGCTGATGCAGATGGCCTGTAATGCCCCCTCCCCATGATACCCATTATCAACACTAAGTAGGGCACCTCCTCCAAGGATGAGTTCCCACCCCTGCACAGTCTTTTTATTCGTTTATTTATGTTAGAGGTAGGATCTCTCTCTGTCACCCAGGCTGGAGTGCAGTGAGGTGATCACAGCTCACTGTAATCATGAACTCCTGGGCTCAAGCGACCCTCCTGCCTCAGCTCCCGAGTGGCTGGGACTAGAGTTGCGTCCCACCATGCCTGACTAGATTATTTAAAACATATTTTGCAGAAACAGGGTCTTGCTATGTTGCCCAGGCTCCCCTCACAGTTAGAGGTTGAGGTTGGGCTGTAGCTAGGGCCAGGGCTGCCCTTGTGCCTGGGGGACCCCTCCCCATCTCTCCACGCCAACCAAGTAAGGGTCCTTAGAGAGGGCCTAGTCCAAGTTGCTCATTTACAAATGGAGATTGAGACCAGCCTGGCAGCAGCATTGTGAGAGTTTAAGGTCTCAGTGAGCTATGATTATGCCACTGCACTCTAGTCTGGGTGACAGAGTGAGACCTTGTCTCAAAAGATAAATAATAAATAAATAAAAATGGAGAAACTGGCTGAGTGTGGTGGCTCATGCCTGTAATCCTAACACTCTGGGAGGCCAAGGCAGGAGGATTGCTTGAGCTCAGGCACTCTAGCTTGGACAACAGAGCAAGACTCTGTCTCAATTAAGAAAAAAAAAAAAAGAGAGAGAGAGAAACTGAGGCCCAGAGGTGAGTAGTAAGAACTAGAACTCAGGCCTCTTATACCTAGCCTGAGGTCCCCCATCTTTCTATTCCACTAGTTCCCAGGATATATAGTGGGAGAGGGTCCCAGGGACTGAGAAACAGGCCCAAGAAAGGTACCTGTAGAGGCAGGTGCTCGATCAACAGGATTGTAGGGTCTGGTGTAGAGCTTCTGGCTCTATGTGTGGGGACTGTTTATAAACCCCACCACTGTGGATTTGGCTTGGGTGTCCTGGTCACCTGATATTAAAGTTGGATCACTGAACAAAGCTGGAAGGATCAACTCTTGGCCTTGGGCCATGATCCCTCAGCTGCACCTGGTATCCAGGGCCTGGGGTAGCTTGCTCTCTGGGCATAGGCCAGAAGGGGTGCTGGCCTCCTGGGGATGACTATCCAGCTTTTTTCAAGGTTCAGGGTTGGGGGCCTGTTTTTCTCATGGGCAGGGCAGGGTGCTGAGAGTGCAAGTTGGAGCTCTGGCCTGGCATAGCCTTCTTTCCCACTGCACCCAGGAGGAAGAGTCCTGCCTGGGCTCTCATTCCTGGCCAACCAGGCTCACTGCTCCTCTGCAGAAGGGTCTCTGAGGTACCCTCCAGCAGCCTGCGGGAAATGGGCATGTGCCAGCTGCCTCCGATTTCCAACCCCACTTCCCGATCTGTAAAGAAGAGATGATGAGGGCCGGGCGCGGTGGCTCACGCCTGTAATCCTAGCACTCTGGGAGGCCGAGGCGGGCGGATTGCTCGAGGTCAGGAGTTCGAAACTAGCCTGAGCAAGAGCGAGACCCCGTCTCTACTATAAATAGAAAGAAACTAATTTGGCCAACTAATATATATAGAAAAAAAATTAGCCGGGCATGGTGGCGCATGCCTGTAGTCCCAGCTACTTGGGAGGCTGAGGCAGCAGGATTGCTTGAGCCCAGGAGTTTGAGGTTGCTGTGAGCTAGGCTGACGCCACGGCACTCACTCTAGCTTGGGCAACAAAGCAAGACTCTGTCTCAAAAAAAAAAAAAAAAAAAAAAAGAAGAGATGATGAGGATTTGCATTCTAAAGAGAGACCCTTACCCCCACCTCCTACCTGTGTCAGAGGTGGAAGGAAATTCAAAAAGGAATGAAGAAAATCCATGCATGTGCTGTTCCTCATGCAGCCAGCTTGGTCTCTTCAAAATAATCAATGTCATTAAAAAAAAAAAATGACAAGGGCCTATTCTATAGAGCAAAGACTTAAGAGATGTACAACCAAATGTGATGTGTGAACCTTGATTGAATACAGTATTTAACCAAAAATTTTTTAAAGCTACAAAAGATGCTTTTGAGACAATTGGGGACATGTGAACATGAATTGGAGATTAGATTATATTCTGGAATAAATGTTAATTTTCTTAGGTGTGAACATAGTATCATGGTTATATGGGTGTATAACCTTATTCTTAGGAGATGAATGCTGTAGTGTTTAGGGGTGACATGTCATAATGCCTGCAAACCCCCTTCAAATGGCTCTGTTAAGAATGTGCATCTATCTATCCATCAAAAGAAAGTAAATATGAGAAATGTCAGCTACCATGAAACTAGGTGAAGACATAAGAATGTTTGTTGTATTAAATGAGTTTTTAAGAGCAACTAAGGTCTCAGTCAGGTTGAAGAAGGAAATTTTGATTTAGAGTGGTGGAGTTTTTTATTGCTGAAAATGAGAAAGCTGTAGGATCAGCCTGTGACGATGTCAAGGTGCAAGGATGGGGAATCCAACAGAGTGACCGTTTGAATGGTGGGCGATTGGAAGGGAAAGCTGTGTCCCGTCGGTGTCTCTCCTGGGTCAGCTCACTCAATGGAAAAGGTCATGGTTTGAGGTTAGGCTGAGTTTTATAGAAGACTGATGCTTTGTTTCTCTCTCTCTACCTCCCTGTCTCTGTCTTTCTCTCTCTGTCCCACTCACTAACTAAAGTCCAAAGTTTGTTTAGATTTCCTTGGTTTTCACCTAATGCCCTTTTTTTTTTTTGGTTCCAAGAACCCATTGAAGATACCACATGTCATTGGGTCATCATATCTCTTTGGACTTCTCTTAGCTATGACAGTTTCCCGGACTATCCTTGTTTTTATGACCTTGACAATTTTCAGGAGTCCTGGTCGGGTATTTCACAGGATGCTCATAACTGGGATTTGGGTGATGTTTTTCTCACGGTGAGCCTGGGTTATGGGTTTCAGTAGGAAGACTTCAGAGGTAAAGTGGCATTTTTATCACACCATCTCAAGGGTACATACTTCAATGTGACTGATGACTATTGATGTCGACCTTGATTGCCCGGCTGAGGTCGTGCATGTCAGGTTTCTCCTCTGCAAAGTGACTCTTCCTTCCCCTTTCCATACTGTGCAGTTTGGAAGGAAGTCACTGTGTACAGCCCACACCTAAGGAGTGGGGAGTTACGCTCCTTGTCCTCGAGGACAGAATATCTACATAAACTATTTGGAATTCTTCTGTATAACAGACTTTTTATTTTTAATGTTTTCTTAAAACTTTTAAAATTAAATTACAAGGTATGACACAGAAAAGTGCATATATCATGTATAGCTCAGTGAACTTTCACACTTAATAAACCCATGTCACTGGCTCTCAGATCGAGAGACAGCATCTCATCAGCACCCTCGAGTGCTCCCTCCCCGGGGTGACCATGGCTTCTAAATGCGTGGATTAGTTCGTCTGGTTTTGGTCTTTATATAAATGAAATCCTACCATGTGTGCTCTTTTGGGGGGAAGCATGGAAATTAAAAAAATTAATAGATTTTATTTTTTAGAACAGTTTTTGGTTTACAGAAAAACTAAGTGGAGAGTGAGATCTCCCATTTCCCTTCCTTTCCTCCCCGTTCCCCTTGTTAACATCTTGCATCAGTGTGGCGCATTGTCACAGCTAACGCATGAATGTTGATGTGTTATTAGTAACTAAAGACCAGAGTTTAAATTAAGGTGCACTTTTTATGCTGTGCAGTTCTGTGGATTTTTCCCCACTTTTTAAATTGTGGTAAAATATACATAAAATTTACCATTTAACTATTTTATGTCAGTGGGTAGTGCGTACTCTTGTGTCTGGCTGTGACTTAACATCCTTTTTTATGAGACTCAGCCACAGCATTAGGTGTAGGTGTAGTTCATTCTCATTGCTGTGTCCTGTTCCATTATTATATGAACACTCAACACCTTCTTCATCCATTCAACTGTTGATTGACATTTGGGTTGTTTTCTGGGTTGGGCTATGATGAACCCTGCTACCAGGACATTCTTACTTTTGAATGCATGCCTGCTGTGGACTGGAATTGCTGGGTCAGAGGACAAGTGAATGTCTAGCTTCAGAAACAACTTTCCAACGTAGGTGAACCAATTTGTACTCCCGTCAGCTGTGCAGGAAGGCCCCAGCTTCTCCTCCTCACCACCAGAGAGCATTTTCAATCTTTTTCATTTAAGCCACTCTAGAGGTGTTGAGTCCTTTCCCCCTTTTTTTTGAGACAGAGTCTCGTTCTGTCATCCTGGGCAGATTGTGGTGGCATCATCATAGCTCACTGCAACCTCAAATTTCCTGGGCTCAAGCAATTGAAAATTCTCTGCCTCAGCCTTCCAATTAGCTGGGACTATAGGCTCACACCACTGCACCCAGCTAATTTATTTTAGTTAGTTTTTTTGGTTTTTTTTTTTGTAGAGATGGGGGTGTTGCTCTTGCTCAGGCTGGTCTCAAATGCCTGAGTTCAAGTGACCCTCTCGCCTTGGCCTCCCTGAGTCCTAGGATTACAGGCCTGAGCCACCGCGCCTGGCCAACTCCTCCCATTTTAAAGTCCTTCAATGTTTCCCATAGATTTCAGGATACAAACTAAATTCATTTGCTTCTTACACAAGAGCTTCAGCAGCAGCTCTTGCTCACCTCTCTGGCTTTGCTGGCCACCACGTCCCCCTTCACCTTTTATTAACCTCTCACAGAATTTTCAAGATTCTACTTTTTGTTTTTTTTGAGAAAGAGTCTTGCTCAGTTGCCCAGGCTGGAGTTCAGTGGCATCATCATAGCTCCTGGGCTCAAGTGATCCTCCTGCTTCAGTCTCCCACATAGCTGGGACTATAAGCATGCACCATCACACCTGGCTAAATTTTCTTATTTTTGTATAATTAGGTGTCTTACTATGTTGCTCAGGCTGATCTTAAACTCTTGGGCTCAAGTGATCCACCTGCCTTGGTCTCTCAAAGTACTGAAATTACAGGTGTGAGCCATGGCACCTGGCCTGGATTCTCAAGATTCTACCTCTTGAATCTGACCGCTTCTCTCTCTTGCTGTGGCCACTGCCCTGGAGAGGCTCTGAGCACCACCTCTCCCTACACTTTCACAGGAACCTCCTACTTGGCCTCACTGCTTCTGGGTCAGTATTGTCCAATAGAACTTTCTGTGATGATGGAAATATTCTATATTTGTACGATCTGGTGGGGTAGCCACTGTCTACCTTCAGGCCAGAGGTGGCGAGGGTTCCCTCCTGTCACTAGTCTTATGGTTCTATACTATCCTGTGTTGGCTTCTCTATACTTTGCTCACAGCTTTGTAAATAGTCCCTTATTTTATTTATTTATTTATTTTGAGACAGAGTCTCACTCCGTTGCCCGGGCTAGAGTGCTGTGGCGTCAGCCTAGCTCACAGCAACCTCAAACTCCTGGGCTCAAGCGATCCTCCTGCCTCAGCCTCCCAAGTAGCTGGGACTACAGGCATGTGCCACCATACCTGGCTAATTTTTTCTATATATTTTTAGTTGGTCAATTCATTTGTTTCTACTTTTAGTAGAGACAGGGTCTCACTCTTTCTCAGGCTGGTTTCCAACTTCTGACCTTGAGCAATTCTCCCGCCTCGGCCTCCCAGAGTGCTAGGATTACAGGTGTGAGCCACTGCATCTGGTGTAAATAGTCCCTTATTAAACTCTCCTAATGATTCAGTGTAAGTGGGTCCTCTGTTTACTGCCAGGATCCTGGATAATGAACTCACTCTGCATTTCTGTACTGCCATCCTTGAAATATGGTCCTCCCAAGCTGGCTCCCTCCTGGTCACAAGATGGCTGCTGTAGTTTTGGCCATTACATCATGACATGACAAGGGCCAGAATTGCCATGTGTCCCTTT